GCACTTGTTAAAGAGGTTGTCTTTTCTCCATTGTATACAATCCTTAGATCATTAATCCATTTTGAGTTTATTTTTGTGTATGGTGTTAAAAAGTGTTCTAGTTTCATTCTTTTACAAGTGGTTTACCAGTTTTCCCAGCAGCACTTGTTAAAGAGGTTGTCTTTTCTCCATTGTATACAATCCTATCTCTTTAGGCCTTGTGTCAGGTGTGTATCTACGACAAGATAGATTCCCCACCTACATAATGAAGTTTCTGTATTATCTAATGTAAAACTTTGTTAATGTCATTATTTTTTATTCTAAAGAAAGTATGTCTTTTAGTGGATGTCTACTCTGCTGTTTGCCCAGATCAACAACCTCCTTCTTTTGGTAAATGTATCTTTCTCTTGGAGTAACCACATGATATGATTAGAAGATGACATGTAGATCACCTCTCTGACCACTGCTGTCTGGTCAAAGGTTGAGCTTCTGACCTAAGTCATAATGACATATCTACAATTCACAGTTGAATGGTGCAAGTATGGGTCTCTGACCATGATGGGCCAAATCAGAGCTTTTCCTTGAGATGTTAGATGAGAATAGAGAAAAAGCAAGCCCCAATATCTTTTTGAGTATGTTGTGCAGAAACTGCTGTCAATCATATTTCCAGCTGTCAGAAATTGAATCTGGGATACTTTCTTAAAGATACCTGAGAGAAGAGGATGTAAGATTTAAAGACAGCTTACCGGTATTCAAATTCTTGGTTTCATGTGTCTAAGGCATTTAGCTTCATTCTCAGCCTGCATTCATCTTGGTCACTAGCTGAGCCAATAAATGCGCAATATATCTGTCCCCTTCCCTATATTTGTTTAATTTGTGGTTCTATCATCTAATAGGATATTGACAGGAACTTCCCTGGTGGTCCAGTGGTTAAGAATCCACCTGCCAATGCAGGGATTGATCCCTGGTCCGATAAGATCCCACATGCCACAGAGTAACTAAGCTTATGGGCCACAGCTGCTGAAGCCCACATCCTCTAAAATCCATGCTGCTCAACAAGAGAAGCCACCGCAATGAGAAGCCTGTGCTCCACAATTAGAGAGTAGTTCCCATTCACTGCAAGTAGAGAAACCCTATGCATTGCAATGAAGACTCCACAGAATCAAAATTTTTTTATTTTTTAAAAAAGGATATTGACAATTACAGCTCTGATTCTAAGAACCTTGTATATTCAGTTAATTCTGATGTGAAACCCTTCATTGTTTTATTTCCTTAAGAAAATATTATTTTTTCTTCTTATAAAAAAGAAAATATGTTTATCATGTAAGATTTATTTGCAAATTAGAGATTAAAAATTAAAAATCACCATATGGAGATAATTAGTAGTAATATCTCAGTATATCACTTTCTAATGTTGTTCTTTTCCAGTGAGTCTGCTCTTAACATCAAGTGGCCAAAGTATTGGAGCTTCAGCCTCAGCATCAGTCCTTCCAATGAATACTCAGGGTTGATTTCCTTTAGGATTGACTGGTTTAATCTCCTTGCTGTCCAAGGGACTCAAGAGTCATCTCCAGTACCACAATTCAAAAATACCAATTCTTGGGCATTCAGCCTTCTTTATGGTCCAACTCTTATACCTGTACATGACTACTGGCAAAACCACAGATCTGACTATATGGACCTTTGTCATCAAGGTGATGTCTCTGCTTTTTAATACGCTGTCTAGGTTTGTCATAGTTTTTCTTCCAAGTGAGTGAGTGAGTGAGTGAAGTCGCTCAGTCGTGTCCGACTCTTTGCGACCCCGTGGACTGTAGCCAGCCAGGCTCCTCTGTCCATGGGATTCTCCAGGCAAGAGTACTGGAGTGGGTTGCCATTTCCTTCTCTATTCTTCCAAGTAGCATACGTCTTTTAATTTCATGGCAGCAGTCACCATCCACAGTGATTTTGTAGCCCAGGAGAATAAATTCTGTCACTGTTTCCACTTAACCCTTCTATTTGCCATGAAGTGATGGGACCAGATACCATGATCTTCGTTTTTTGATTGTTGAGTTTTAAACTAGCTTTTTCACTCTCTTATTTATTGTAGTATTCTCCCTGCTTCCTCATAGGTGGAATATTATTTTTTTGTATTGATTTATCAGTACCACATATATGTTAAAGATATTAACTATTATATTTATGTTCAAAATCGCCCTCTCAAATTCTTGTTTCCTTTTTCATTTTACTTATCATATTCTACAACATTAAAGTACTTTTTGTACACCAACTCCACAGAGCTATTGAACTTCGCCTTAATAGTTTTACTCTTTAGTTCTTTTCCTTTCAAGCTGGTACCTAATCAATGTTCATAAATATGTATTTTTACTGAAATATAGTTAATAGAGTTACATATAGTTAGAGTTACATATAGTATATATATATATACATATATATTCTTTTTACAAGATGTGAAGTATAGCTCCCTGTGCTATACAGTAGGTTTTTGTCATCTATTTTATATATAGTAGTATGTCTGTTAATCCCAAACTCCTAATTGATCTCTCCCCCCCGCAACTATCCCCTTTTGTAACTCTAAGTTTGTTTCTATGTCTATGAGTCTGTTTCTGTTTTGTAAATAAGTTCATTTGTATCATTATTTTAGATTCCACATAAAAGTGATATCATGTTGATATTTCTCTTTGATTTATTTCACTTAATGTAATTTCTAGATTCATCCATGTTGCATCAAATGGCATTATTTCATTATTTTTTGTGGATGAGTAATATTCCACTGTATATATGTACCACATTTTCTTTATCCATTCATCTATTGATGGACACATAGTTTGCTTCCATGTCCTAGTTACTGTTAATATTGCTGCAGTGAACACTGGGGGTACATGTGTCTTTTTGAATTATGGTTTTCTCAGGGTATAGGCCCAATAGTGGGATTGCTGGGTTGTATAGTAGTTCTATTTTCAGTTTTTTAAGGACCCTCCATACTGTTCTCCATAGTGGTTGTATCAATTTACAGTCCCACCAACAGTGCATGAAGGTTCCCTTTTCTCACACCCTCACCAGCATTTACTGTTTATAGATTTTTTTAATAATGGCCATTCTGACTGGTCAGAGGTGATATTTCATTATGGTTTTGATGTGCATTTCTTCAGTTATGAGAGATGTCAAGAATCTTTTCTTGTTTGTTGACTTTCTGTATGTTTTCTTTGGAGAAATGTCTGTTTAGGCCTTCTGCCCATTTTTGATCTGATGGATTTTTTTTTTTAATATTGAGCAGCTTGTATATTTCGGAGATTAATCCTTTGTCAGTTGCTTCATTTGCAAATATTTTATACCATTATAAGAGTTGTCTTTTTGTTTTATTTAGGGTTTCTTTTGCTGTGTAAAAGATAATAAAGTTTTAATTAGGTCTCATTTGTTTGCTTTTGTTTTTATTTTCATCATTCTAAGATGTAGGTAAAAAGAATGTTTTGTGATTTATGTCAGAGTGTTAATACAGACCCACCTATCAGTAGACAGGCTGCTTAAAGTATTATGAATTAATGATTTTAAAGTCCAAAACAAGAAGAAAAATGAGTGTAAAAGAGTAAAACAACTTCCTAAAAGATGTCTGACACCTATCAGTAGCTTCAAAAAAGGATTTCATTACAAAATTCTACCAAAAATTGCTAACCTACATTTTTTAAGAATTTTAAAAATAAGTAGCCATTAGAATGATTTTTTCATAATCATTACTTTGTATATCAATAGCTTAGTTTATTTATATAGATTAGAAAGATTTTTGTCTCTGGCCTATATTATCTTTGGGTTCCAAAAGCTTGAAATTGCCATGGCTGTTTAGTTATGAAAACCATGATCCACTAATAAAAACAGATCAAGGAATGCTATAATATTCATATATGAAATTCTTGAAGCTCATTTAAAATAACTGTGAAATCTTGGTAGCTATAAGAAAAGTTATGGTGAATGCCCTTTAAAGTATTAATTAAAAGAAAAAAATCAACATAGAAGAATACTATTTAATCATATGCTTCTAATAAGTGACATAATAAAAGCCATGGGTGAGTGATAACATTATCATTGTTATAAAATACCCAAGACCCTGTTGAAGAAATGTCTTTTTGAGCAGCAGAATAAAGAACTTCGAAACAGCAATAATCATGTGAAATTGATACCGATGAAAAGAGTAATGACCTTACAGCGTCACTTCTGCTATCACTGGGGCCAGAGATAGAAAGCCAGTGAATACTTTGTAAGTTAGAATACAAACTAACAAGCTCGCCTAGTTTTTTTTCTTCCATTTTTTTTAATCTAAGGTGAGAAGAAAGGAATTAACTGTGTCAGGTGATGGATGCATTAATTATCTTGATATTGGCAATCACTCCACAATGTATATGTATATCAAATCATCACATTGTACACTTTAAACATATACAATTATATTTGTCAATTTTTCCCCAGTAAATTGGGGCAGGGATGGAGAGCTGAGATCTGATTGTTATCCTAGATTTCTCACTTCACATATCTCTGCCTGAGTATTATCATTGATAAAATAAAGGGGTTAGAACACATGATCGTTCAAAGTTCAGTTATAAAATTCAACAATCCTATTATAAAGTCAACAGTTATCTAGGTTATCTATTGGAAAAACAGTTATGTATTGGAAAAAACCAATNAAATTGGAAGTGGAGGATCAAGATGATAATCAACTTTTGTTTGAAGTATTTTGCATAGTAATTATATGGAGAATGAGTCAAGCATTTCTTAATTATTAAAAAAACAAGATAAAATGCTTACCACCCAGAGTTATCATAAATATTAAATAAAATAATTTATATAAAAATCTAACAGAAGTTGGAAAAGTAGAAACTCCCATGTTAACTCTCTTTTTCCTTATTTATTTGGTATACAGCAACATGAAAAATGCCTAAATATTACCTAGTGCATAAAATTAATAGAAATCTAAGATGATATTTTTCTATTGTCATTGTGGGTATAGCTGAATTTCTTTATCATTAGAGTATTTAAGGCATCTTCCTGTAACTCACAAGCTGATGGCACAGTTTCTTCATTGCTGCCTTCATCTCTTTGTTCCTGAATGTATAGATGACTGGATTCAGAAAAGGAGTGAGAACAGCATCAAAGATAGCAAGAAACTTGTCCAAGTGTGATGAAGGGAAGGGCCAGGTGTAAAAGAAAATTAATGGCCCAAAGAATAAGACCACCACAGTGACGTGAGCTGACAAGGTGGAGAGCGCCTTGGATACACTACCTGAGGAGTATTTCCAAACAGTGACCAGAATGAAAATGTAGGAAATAATCAATATGAAGAAGAAACCCACAGAGATGAGTCCACTGTTGGCGGTGACCATGAACTCTAGTCTATAGGTCTCTGTGCAAGCAAGTTTAATGAGTCGTGGGAGGTCACAATAAAAGCTGTCCAGTACATTAGGACCACAGAAGGGCAAGTCTATGACAAAAGCCAGTTGGGCCACTGAGTGGATGAGGCCAAGGACCCAGGCAGCAGCCAAAGTCAAAGCGCACATTCGTGGGTTCATGATGGTCAGGTAGTGGAGAGGCTTGCATATGGCCACATACCTGTCAAAGGCCATGGCAATGAGCAGCACCATTTCTGTGCCCCCAATGGCATGAATAAAGAAGATCTGAGTTAGACAACCCCCAAAAGAGATGGCTTTGCGTTTTCTGAAAAGGTCATAAATCATTTTGGGAGCAGTAGTAGAGCAAAACCCCATGTCAAGAAAGGAAAGGTTAGCCAGCAGGAAGTACATGGGGGAGTGCAAGTTAGTGTCAGCACTCACAGAAAATACAATGAGGAGGTTTCCCATCAGGCTTGCCATGTAGAACACAGAGAAAAAAAAGGCAAGAAGAAACTGGATCTCCCAGGAATTGGAGAGTCCCAGGAACACAAATTCAGACACCATGGAGTGGTTGGCTCCACCCATTGTCTCTGCATTCAGAGGTGACTCAATTTTACTTGAAAAAGAGTAGAAAGATCAAATTTGAGAGTCAGTGATCATATGAAAATACCGCCCTAATTCACAGAAGCAAAACACCTATAATATAAGCCCTTAAACTCTAGTTGCAGAAAATATGCAGTAATTATTTGCCACAAAGCACTGCTTCTTACTCCCCAGCCTCCCTAGGTTCTGATAAAAGGATTAAAATATTCTGCTGAATCAAAAGGGTTATGAGAGGAAGGATAGGAGTGCCCAGGAATATCATGAAGGGAGGTAAAAGAGGAAATAGAAATGAAAGTATTGATTTTGCTCTCACAGTCTGTTACTCATGCCCATTGTTGTTGTTTGTTGTTCAGTGGCTAAGCCGTGTCTGACTCCTTGTGACCTCATGGACTGCAGGATGCCTGCCTTCCCTGTCCTTCACAATTTCTTGGAGTTTGCTCACACTCATGTCTATTGAGTTGATGATATCATCCAACCATCTCATCCTCTGTTGTCCACTTTTCCTCCTGCCCTCAATCTTGCCCAGCATCAGGGTCTTTTCCAATGAGTTGACTTTTTACATCAGGTGGCCAAAGTTTTGGAATTTCAGCTTTAGCATTAGTCCTTTCAATGAATATTCAGGGTTGATTTCCTTTGGGATTGACTGGTTTGAGCTTCTTGCTGTCCAAGGGACTCTCAAGAGTCTTCTCCAACACCAAAGTTTGAAAGCATCAATTCTTCAGTGCTCAACCTTCTTTATGATCCAATTCTCATATCCACACATGAGTATTGAAAAAACCATAGCTTTGACCATACAGATCTTTGTGGGCAAAGAGATGTCTCCGGTTTTTAATACACTGTCTAGGCTTGTCATAACTTTTCTACCAAGGATCTTTCCTGTAGCTTAGACAGTAAAGAATCTGTCTGCAATGCAGGAGACCAGGGCTCAATCCTTGGGTTGGTAAAATCCTCTGGAGAAGGGAATGACAATCCTCTCCAGTATCCTAGGGGGAAAGAGGAAATAGAAATGAACTTAGAGATTTTTCTCACAGTTTGTTACTCATGCATGGATTTCCCCAAACTTCAGACAATTGTGATGATGTTCATTTTCTTTACCCTCTGACTACCTCTGATATGAAATGCTATCAGTTTCATTGATACTCTCTTATGTTTAAAGCTAAACATATGGCAGTTTTATCAAATCATAGCCATCTTTCCCCCGTAAAGAGATTAGATAATGTAGAAACCTTAAAAATGTATCCAGCTTCTGTAGCTCAACTCAAGGAGTGGGAGTGATCACAAAACTTGAGCTGTGAGAGCATATGAAAGAGTTAGGACAAGCCAGAAAAGAAACCTGTGCTGCAGACTCCCAACATGGATGAGATAATGCAATGTAGCAAACAAAACCTGTGTTGCATTAGGAAATAACTGTCCATGCCATGTTCACGTTTCATGGTTCATGGAATGTTGGCAAGATTGAAAAGAACACTGTACTTGTAATTGGGAAAGTTGTGATCAAGCTCAAGCCCTAAGTTCATGGGAAGTTAGAGTAAGTTCTTTCTCCCATCCCTTCCACACTCAACTCACTTCTTGAACTCAGTTCCATCATCTGGAAAATAAAGGGGACTGAGTAGGTGATGCTAAGTAATCCTTTCAAGTCTTAACATTTCCATGACTTTATAACACAATGCCAGCGCAGTAGGTACAGAACCTCACTGTAATGATGGTATTCCCTGCATTGGAGTGCTACCACATTCACCACCGTTTCCCTCATCTCAGTTGGTCATAAGTCCCATATCCCATAAAATCCCTCTACTTGTATTAGTTTCCCTCTTCTCTAATTGTTTTTGTTCCACTTACATTCATTAGCATATTATTGTAAGTTTGCTATGTCATTTAATTTTCCCTTTATCATAACAGTCTGTAATCCATCAGCTAATATTTTCTAGATACCTACTAAGCCCAATGCATTGTCCCAGGCCATTACGGGCTTCCTGAAGTATTAAAATACCCACTGCCATTAAGGCATTTCCATTTCAGCACATACTAAAATACAAACAATAAAAAGTTCTTACATCCAGAATGTCAAATCAGTAGTATAAGCATAGAATTTTTGAAGCAGAAAAGATACACGTGAGCCGGAGTGAACAGGGCTATCTTCAGAAAGAAATCAAGACTTATGATGCAGTTTAAGATATGGATATAAGGTATTTGGATATACAGCTTCATATCTGACTCTGAAAGAGTTGTTGAAACATAATGAGGGAATAGCTCCCAGTCTGAAGCAGTGTCTGATAAGCTCTCAATGAAAATAATGAGAACAAGCCAAAGTAAAACAAAAACAGTGACCACCACGGCCAAGACACTACAATAACACTTTTACTGACACTATCTGTTTGATACTTACAAAAACCATAAAAGTTATCAGCTCCTTTTCACAGTGGAGGAATTCAAGACCATAAGAGGGAAAGCCATAGATTAGAACAGCAAGTGGTAGAACTGACACTGATTCCCCGATCTGCCTCTTAACCAGTATATAGAGAAGACTTTTCTCATGACTTTCTGATTATTTAACAAACACAACCATAATTCTTCCTGGCTATTGTAGTAAAGGGCAAAGCTGTGTAATACCTGCATCTCAGAGCTCCTGGTTGAGTTCCCAGACTGCCGTTGCTTTAATCCACATGAAGGCCTTTAGCTTCCCATAGAAGAGGCTCTACTTTAGTGCTTTCAATAACAGAGGAAGCAAAAGTGCTCAGTCTCCACATCCAGAAAGAAAATAAAGTCCAGCACTACACTAATTCAAATTCTGTTCCCACTTACAAAACTGTCTCCTGCCTTTTGTAATTCCCTTTCTTGGATCTCAATCTTAGAGAGCAATGGGTAAACAGGAAAAAATAATAATAATAATTTTGGTTTCTAACTGTATGAGCTCTTTCTCATTGGTGTTAATTCTTACTCATTAAGCTCAGCTGAAGCTGCTTCTATTGTACAAGGTAACAATTAACTGATTTCTTTACAAATGATCCTGCCACCAGAAATGTCTGTTGGGTCTTGGTCTTTAGGGACTTCAACATTATACACCAATATCCTCAAGCTATTTCTGAATTTGTCACCAACCTACTCATATAAAGAGCTGACATGTGACTGTTACCAAAGAGTTAACCATATTCAACTTTTATTGGTTAAAACTAGCATTGCTTCATGTACAAATAGCTGTAAAAATGCTATTATTGGGAGAGATCTGGCTAATTGGCACACAGGAGAGTAGTGACCAAATGATACTGCAGAGACATAGGATTGCCAATATGATTTCATTTATCCAAGGGAATTGTCACCCAGAATGCTACCACACCAACAGAGGAAGTTATGGAGTAGCCACAGACAGGAAGAAAAAAGATCAGAAAACATTTTAAACACCATTTTGTTTACTTAATCTGAAATATTTATTTCCTGAGTAAGGTTAAAGAATTTCCAAGAAACACATAAATATATTCATATCAAATCAACTTCACCCAAGAAACTCACCAGAAAACAGGGAACTTCATAGAAATCACTATTGTGTGCGTGTGTGTGAATTATCTATAAGGCTATTATTCTGTTTTACATTCAAAAACTGGCATAATCTACATGGAACACTGTTTAACTTAATTCAATTACATGGCCCATAATTTCACATCAAAAAGAATACTTTTAACCCAGAGAATAACTACTGTGTTGGACTTCACTGTAGACTGTGAATCAGAAAACTTAAATTCTATTCATGTTTGTTCAGTAACTCACTCTAACTTCAGATGTTTCACTTCAGTTCTCTAGAGTAATATTTCCTCGTCTGTAAAATGAGCAGGTTATAGAAAATAATTTCTACAGTATCTTCCAGTTCCTAAGCTTCCTATGAGAGCAAATAGCAGAGTTAGGACAAGCCAGAGAGAGATCTGTGAGGCAGACTCTAAACATGGATGAGCTAATGCAATGTAGCAAACAAAATTCTGTGTGATATTAGTAAATCATTGTCCATGCCATGTTCACTTAATAGTTCATGGGATGTCAGAAAGAACACTACATTTGAAATCAGAAGAGTTGTGATCAATTCTTAGCCCTAAGTTCATGTGAAGTTGGAGTAAGTCCTTTCTCTCATCCCTTCCACACTCAACTCACTTTTTAAAAAGTGTTTCATAACTTTATTGTTGCTACTCATCATATTTATGAAGATTTCATAAAATTGCAAATAGTTGCAATACAAAAGGCAGTTATTACAATGCAACATTGTTCATCAGCATCTCTTGAAAAACCCAGTATAATTACTGGGCAACAGTATTGCATGGGGAAATTGAATAATTATTAGTTCAGTTCAGTTCATTTGCTCAGTTGTGTCCAACTCTGCGACCCCATGGATTGAAGCACACCAGGCACCCTGTCCATCTGTTTTTCTAAATTGAGGCATAATTTACACGCAATAAAATGCACAGATCTCAAGCACTCAGTTTTATAAGTTTTAGCAACATTAACTCCTTGAACTCAATTTTGCCATCTAGAAAATAAAGGAACTGAGTGGGTGATGCTAAAGCATCAAGTCTAAGATTTCTGTGACCTCATAGCACAATGCCAGCCCAGTACGTAGCGAACCTGACTGTAACAATGGTGTTTTCTGTGTTGAGTCCTACCATATTCACCTCTTTCCCCTCATCTGCAGTTGATTATAAATCCCATATCCCACAAAAAGCCATCCCTTTGTATTATATTAGTCTCTGTCTTCTCTAATTACTTTTGTCCCACTTACATGATTATTTAGCATATTATTGTAAATTTTCTATGTCATTTGTTTTGCCCTTTATCATAACTATCTGTAATCAATCAACAAGCATTTTCTAGATAAATACTAAGCACAAGGCATTGTTCGAGGACATTGTGGATTCCATCAATTTTTAAAATATTCACTACCCTTAAGGCATTTACATTTTTTCACATACTAAAAATATAAACAATAAAAATTCTTACATGAA